GGGGGGGGGGGCACAGAGGCTGCAGGGCGAGTGGGCAGCAGGGGGCACAGAGGCTGCAGGGCGAGTGGGCAGCAGGGGGCACAGAGGCTGCAGGGGCGGGGGGGTGCAGAGGCTGCAGGGTGAGGAGGAGTGGCACACATGGGCTGTGGAGATTTTATAGCATGTTGGTGGGGGCCTCAGAAAGAGAATGGTTGAGAACCCCTGGCCTGGAGGGGGGAAAAAGAAAGCTTTCTAGAGAGGTGTATGTGGATAACCTAAGCCTTTCAATAAAAATATTTAATCTTAAAGCTCAGAACATCAGGCAGCTATCTGGGGAATAAGTGAGAGAAGAGGATGTGACGGGTTGGATCACAGAAACCCCCTTGAGAGCTGCCACCTGATGTGCAAAGACTACCCCTGCTCCTGTTTTCCCTGCCAGCTCAGGACTCCAGCACCCTGTCTTGCTGAGCCAGACACTCCCGTCTGGCTCCAACACAGACCCAGGGTCTGAATAACTTGCCCCAAAGCTGCAAACTTACCTGAAAACAGCTCACAGAAGTGTGCTTGTCTTTAGCACTCAGATGCCCAACTCCCAATGGGGTCTAAACCCAGATAAATCCGTTTTACCCTGCATAAAGCTTATGCAGAGTAAACTCATAAATTGTTCGCCCTCTATAACACTGATAGAGAGATATGCACAGTTGTTTGCTCCCCCAGGTATTAATACATACTCTGAGTAAATTACTAAATAAAAAGTGATTTTATTAAATACAGAAAATAGGATTTAAGTGGTTCCAAGTAGTAACAGACAGAACAAAGTAAGTCACAAGCAAAATAAAATAAAATGCTCAAATCTATGTCTAATCAAACTGAATACAGATAATCTCACCCTCAGAGATGCTTCAGTAAGCTTTTTCTCAGGCTGGACACCTTCCAGGCCTGGGCACAATTCTTTCCCCTGGTACAGCTCTTGTTCCAGCTTAGGTGTTAGCTAGGGGATTCTTCATGATGGCTCCTCTCTCTCTCTGTTCTCTTCCACCCCTTTATATATCTTTTGCATAAGGCAGGAACCCTTTGTCCCTCTGGGTTTCCACCCCCCCCACTGGAAAAGCACCAGGTTAAAGATGGATTCCAGTTCAGGTGACATGAAGTCTTGCAGTGACATGTGATCATTGCCCACTTGCCAGCACACACATATACAGGAAGACTAACAGGTAAACACAGCCATCTGCAGACAATGGTCCTGGTTAATGGGAGTCATCAATATTCCAAACCATCATTAATGGCCCACACTTTATATAATTACAATAGGCCCTCAGAGTTATATTTCATATTTCTAGTTTTAGATACAAGAGTGGTACATTTCTACAAATAGGATGATCACACTCAGTAGATTATGAGCTTTATAATGATACCTTACAAGAGACCTTTTGCACGAAGCATATCCCAGTTGCATTATATTCAATTATCATCATGTTTTTATAAAACCATATAGACTGCACAACGTCACAGAGGACATCTAGCTCTATAGATTAACTGAACTTTAACTGACAGATACAAACACCACACACAGTGAAGGGGCTCTATATACAGAAAGCATTATTGTTTGCAGCAACCAGGAATAAATTTCTCATTAAAAATTTAATACTTGACAACCATGATAAGTTACAAAAGTGTTGCCAATACGTAAGAGTCCGAACACTCAGGTCTGCTCACTAATAACTATTATTAGCTGGCTATAACCTTGGATGGAGAGGAAGACCAGGTATGTCGTGACATCAATGAACAAAGTCTGCAGGATTAAGTCTAAAAGGCTGCAATAAAACAATCTTGCTCTGGCAGATATGAAATATTTATCAAAATTTAAACATGTAAGGTGATTGCCTGATCACTCAATAGGGCTGACCTGACTAAATGAAATACCTAAGCCGGCCTTCTGGAGAAATCAAACATATGGTTGACGCCAAGGGAGATCTCTACAACCATCTGGGTTAACAAAAGAATCCATGACTCCCAGGGAGTGACATGAAAGCTCACAAGAAGAGAAGACAAAATTTTAAGCCTGTAACTATCCTGCCTTTTACGTCTCCTGAGTGGAGACAGCAAAGGAATAATAAATGCCATAATTCTGTAATGAAATATTAGAGAGGCTAGTTTCACAACTAAGCTGATTATTAAAAAAACCCTTCATATTGAGTTTTGTCACAACTAGAACTCTTCCCACCACAAAAAAAGTCTTAATGTTTCTTGTAGAGGATATTTCATTCTGAATACAGTATTATACAAATAAGACAACAAGTTGTATTTGGTCCTGCCATGCGGGCAGGGGACTGGACTCGATGACCTCTCGAGGTCCCTTCCAGTCCTAGAATCTATGAATCTATGAATCTAAGTTTCATCATTAGAATTTTACAATATACAGAAGTCAGACTGCCCTCTTGTGGTCTATTTAGCATTTAATGAAGGAATTTTAAGTGCATTTCTACTTCAACCATTTTAAACACACTTCCCAGTATGACAAATTCCACAGCATTGTAAACAAGTGAAATTTTGAAACATAAGGAAGCTTCTAAAAAGAAAAGTATACTAAACAATTTACTTAGCAAGGGCATATAGAAATTACTTGCCGTTACTGACGGTATGTATTAGAAGGCAGTTTTACCTAGTGGATAGAGCAGGGACTAAGTCTAAATTGTGGGTCCTAGATTATCACTGACTGATCTAGGACAAGTCCAGTTAAACACTATATCTATGACTTAAAGTAAATATATGCATTTTTATCAAGCTACCATACTTGAATTGATAGCCTTTGCTATTGTTTAATCAAACTCAATTAAGTTTTTTATCATTTAATTTATGTTGATTAAACAAAACAGGGTAACTAGTAGTAATGAAAATAGCTACTTTATTACATCTTTTAAAACACTTAAATATGTCTCAGTCTTGACTGGATTGTGCATATTCCCTCTTTTAGACTCAAACCCATTATCATTTAATTGTACTTATTTGGACTCTAGTTTATCCACATTCTCCCTGTGGTGCCCTAAACGCAATAGGTCAAATTCAGCATTATGACTTGGCTAAAGGATCTATGTTAGCTGGATTACGCAAGAAGCGCCTTTTGTTTAAACACTTGTTTAAATTTAATTTTAGCAATGATAAGCACCACACCAGAAAGTCTGTTGTGTGTCAGCCATTCCCTGCATTGAAAAACTGAGACAGTGTACAGAGCAAGTATTTTGGAAATACCCACTACCTCAATATGAAAATCTTATTTTAAAGATGAACTAAAAGTATGTTAGTAACAGTAAAGCAAAGTTATACTTACCAAAAGTGCCGTAAAACCCTCTAGGTCCACAAGTGCCAACGCCGTACTTCCTCAAAGATGCCTGGGCTGCATTCTTTAGTGAAAACATTACATGAGAAACATTTAGCTTATTTCTACAATAATATTATCTGCACAATTCAGATTGTCAATTTTACATAATTGTCAACATTGCTATTCTTGTTCCATATAATTTATATAGCCATAGAACCAAATGCAATTAAAATGTTGTACAATAACTAATTTTGTAAACTCATTTGCCAATGAGACTTCACTATTTTAATCAGGTATTTAAGCTTAGTTTACCGTATAAAAATACTATACCGATGGTGCACGGAGGAAAAGAGTACCTAGTAGGTACTAATAATGTAACTTTAAAATCAAGCAACTGTATATGATTCCATGCCTATTGAAATATTGGCCATTTCAGTAGTACTGTTCTAGATGAAGGACAAATTTATATTTCACAAAAAGGCAAAGATTACATTCTACTTCCACCTCAGAATTGTACTTACTTTTTCCTTTATTTCCTTCACACAAAGAGACCAAGGGAAGGATTTTCAAAAGCACATAATGGAGTTGGCACCACTGCAAATCTCACTGAGACAACAGTTGCCTTGAGATGTTTAATTTAATAATAATTTAATGGTCACCTACTAATTTAAGAACTTTCATTTTGATGACAACCTATAGTAAATGTCACCCTATATATTTATGTGAAATACCAAAGTAAAATATATTCCTTAAAACTTCAGGTGCATGAAGAGAACTAGCTGAACTCTCTCTCAAAATAAAGTTTTCAAGCTGACACCATCCACCAATGACTGCACTATACACAGCTATAAACTATTTATAGTCTTCTCTGTTTTTATCAATATCAGTTGGGGAGGGCGTCCCAAAGTGCCTCTTCTACAGTTGAGGAGAAGGAGGAAGTCACTTCTATCAGATTACCTCCTTTTTAGTAAGAAAAGGAACATTAGATTAAACATTAATTGAAAAAAATATATATATTCTGGTCTTGCAGTGGGTGTGCAACAAGATTATGTATAGTTCTGAAAACAACCAGAACAAGTTATAAAAACTGACTTGACTTTATCTTCTTATACAGAAAGCAGTTTGAATGGAATACTCAGGGCCATGAAAAGATCAAATTTTAAGTGAATCGCTCCCTTTCCTGCAAAGCATGGGTATGATCCTGTTAACACCTCACTATTTGGCACAATGCTTACTACCATGAGTAGTCTCACTGAAGTCAGTGAGCGTACTGAGAGTAGCAAGCACTATGCCACAAAGTAAGATGTCCATAAACTCCACTATCAGATGCCACTTAGAATCTCAAAGTTTGTCACTACACTTTTCTGGAAGATACCTCCTGAAATGTTTTTAAACAATTCTCTCTGTAGTCTTCATTTTTGGTTACAATTTAAACTTTGTCACTTTTTTTAATCAGAAAGAATGACAGGGTAGAAGAGGCTGTTTATTTCCCACAGAATTCTGTTTGGTTGTGCAAAAATTCCTAGGCCCGTATAAAAGCAAGGATAATCAAAGAAGGGGAAAATGTTAATCATCTACCCAAACTTTGGAAGAACTTACATATAGGGAATTGTCCTTTTCAAACCTATAAATGCCTCAGAATTGAACACAATTATGGGTACAATTTTGTCACAGTAAAATCAGGCAAAATTCATGGAACAGTCATGGTAAAAAATGTACAAAATCAGTGTATGGTCACAGCAGGGCTGAAGCTTGAGCCTGGCCACCCAGGGCTGAAGTCTGAGCCCCACCACCCGAGACTGAAGCCCCAGAAGTCACGGACATCTGTTAAAGTCACGGAATCTCTGACCAAATTGTATCCTTACTTATAATACACAAACTACAATGATGCATATACTGCCATATTTAAATGCTGGTTAACGTTTTGCCATTTAAATTCCTAGCACTTTCACACTTCCAGTATACACTGGAAATAACTGAGGCATAACACAAGTTATTGCATGTTGCTACTGGACTGCACTCATGTGGAAACACCTAACCCAAGAACACTTATTTAATATTTGCATAAGGCTTTGAATATGTCTAAATATAAGTGCTAAATGTTTTTAATTTTGGTAATTCCTATGAAGTGGGTATGTAAAGATCTTTTCTTTATAAATAAAGAAATGTAAGCAGAGGTGAAGTGACTTGCTCAAGGTCACATGGTAAGTCAACAGCAGAACCAGGCTTAGGACGTGATGTGGATGAAGACTACTACTGTGCTAAGTGTTTGTGAGGTTCACATATTTTGAAGTCATCCCCAAACTCAAGGTAAAATGCAATAGCACATTTTAAAAAATCCCTTTGTATATAACTATCTAATGTGCAATCATATAACCTACTCACCTTCACTCTTTCGTTATCCAGAAGTCCAAGAAAGTTAAATGATGCAAAATTTATACATTCCTTGCCATTCACTATGATTTTATGACTTGGGGGGCTACAAAAATATAAAAACAGTGCTATAGTTAAAAGTTAAATATTTGTCACTTTCATAATGGTCAAACAGTACACTGACTGTGTTTTAAAACATATTAAGATATTAATTAAAACGTGTTGATTTTTTCCCCCTATTCTGCCATGTTTTCAAAGTCATAATTTTACTCTGAACCTAAAGCCACGTCTACACTACCACTTATATCGGCAAAACTTATGTCACTCGGGGGGAGGAGGGGAGAAGCAGAGGCGGTTTCACACCCCCGAGTGACATAAATTTTGCCAGCATAAGTGGTAGTGTGCACAGTGCTATGTCGGCGGGAGAGCTTCTCCCACCAACATAGCTACTGCTGCTTGTTGGGGGTGGTTTAATTATGTCGAAGGGAGAGCTCTCTCCTGTTGGCAGAGTGGCTACACGAGATCTTACAACAGCGCAGCTGCATCGGTACAGCTGTGCTGGTGTAAGCGCTCTAGTGCGGACATAGCCTAAATACAATACAAACAGATATACTAACCACAGCATCTTGTCAAATTCCAGTTTGGATAATTACATTCTGCCTACCTAAAATCCCTTGTCCCTTAAACTAAATGCAGTATTCTCCAAAGTTCTGTTCCGAACTGGTTAGGATTGCTGCTTGTTGTTTAAATAATTGCTGGTTCACGCCACAAAGGTGATGTATTTAAGTAGTGGTTAAAACTTCTCCTTTGTATAATTTGCAAAGTGCATTTGGGATCCTTTGGATCCTCCCACTTCGGATCCCTGGGATCCTCCCACTTCGCTAACAAGAGTTAACTAAAAAAAACAATAGTTTTGTCATAAAGCAAGATCACCTTTGCAAACACCTATGGAAAAAAATTATAAAAATAAAAAAGGCACCAAGTTTATGCAGACACTCAACACAAGATGCTTTAGAATGCTTGGGAAATCTGACATGCTAGATTTCATTCTGTTTAATTCATAGAAGTTACAGTAATTCCAGGAACAGTTTTTGCTAGGAGTCAGCCAGCCAAAGAACCAGGATTTGGAAGTAAAAATCAAGCGATGACGACAAAAAATAGTTGTGGAGACGAAAATGTGACCAGAGCAAAATGTTCAGCAAAGTTTAGAATAAGCAGCCTGTAACCAGGAGAATAATGAAATCTTTTACACTGCAAGCATTTTACCAAACACCGTTACTGAAGCAATGAAAAATCTGACTATTTAAGAGCTTGCATTAGCACTAGCTAACGCAGTTTGACTCGCTTTTCCTAAATTTAGGCATCAGGCCAGAAACCCCCAATGTCTAGCCTACAAATTAATCAGACCTCTGTGTTCTGTACTTTAGAACAGTTATTACAAAATGCTTTAGACACTACTAACTCAACATTAAAGTTTCACTTACTAACAAAGTGACAGGAAGTGAAGTACTGACGTTATGATTGAAAAACACTAGTTCTGCCTATTTATGCACATGCTGTACAATATGATCCTATACTATTTCAATATAAAATATCATTGCTCCAAGCTTGTCTAACCAGGGAACAAATAATAAAATGTGACCTATACATACACAATCAAAACCAACCAAGGCAGCTCAAATATCCTCAGATAGTTGCTTCAAAACTGTTTTCTGACCCTAATTCACAATGTTTATACATTTTGAATGAAAAAGTTTGGAGAACGTTTTAAGTTGGACAAACCACAAACACAAAAAAAGAGGCTAAATTTGAATTCACTACAAATTGTAAGAAAAGTTTCAGCTTAACACAAGCGTTCATAACTTTGAAAAAAAAACATGGATTCAGTTTTCTTCAAAACTTGTTAATTCAGAAGATTAAAACAATGAGAAAAGTCAGCAAAACAGTTTTGAAAAGTGTTCAGTTAACTCGCTGTATGTCCATCTGAAATGCATCTCTAAGGTCCTGGCCATTTAAACATGCCCACAAGTAACCAGACAGGTTTAGTAGTCCCATTGAGGTCAAAGGAGTTTTCATGTACATATGTTTTTGCAAGATCAGGGCGTAACTGTGCAGGTATAGGCTTACTGCAATGATCAGTACATTCCCAGATGCAATTTTTAAATGCTATTAACTTTGTAAATCAAAAATAATTCCCCATCACTCCCCAACCCGTCAGGCCCAGTAAAGACACACACTGTTCATTGAGAGCTTGCCATGGACAGTCTCAAAACTGTAGCCCTACCGAAGAAAGGTATGGTCAGATTCCTCTCTCTCATATTTTAGATTGATAAGATTTTGTTCAAGCTTCTAAAGAAGCAATATCCTTGCTTGGGCAAAGACCAAACATGAAAAACTTCAGTCTAAATGTAATTTCACTGCAAAGTTATAAGCATATGGAAACAAGATACTGCATTCTGTAAACTACTTTGCAACCTCAGTTATAGCAAGTGCTACAAGACAAAAATTTCACAAAGAAGTGTGGGGATGTGGAGCAGCCTTAAAGCATTAGGGGTTTTTTTATGCTACACAGTTCCTACAGTATCATATATGGGACCACTAGTTATAATCAGACATTGAGTGGCCCACATTCTTACTTTATATAAAAACAAAGAATTCCAAGTGATGTTCATGGAATCTATGTGTATATTGATTGGAGAATGTCTTTTAGGGTCCTAAGATTCCAAATCTGTGCTTAGGGCTTTCACTGATATTTACAGGAGTTGCATGTACAGACAAAGGCAAATACTGAATTTCATCTTCAACATAAAATACAAAGATATATCAAAAGTTATAAGAAAACAAGTAATAACATTTTATTAAAGTTAACGTAGAACAAGTACTAATGTCTATAAAGTTTATTGTGGACTTTTTTGTTTCAGGGATATACTTCATTTTTAGCATTTGTGTTTCCAACATTTCATTATTTTTCCCTTAATCATTAAGGTGCACATTTGCTGAATGATAATTCAGCATGATCCTGTCTAAATAGGCTATCTTGCAATTAGTTTCCCTACAAAGCATAGTCTATTATATTTCATGAATCAGTTAATTCAACATAGATGCTCTTAAAGTGGTCTTTACATAGCTTTAAACAATAATTAATTTAAAATTGGTTGTTCTTTGTTAGGAAAATGCTCTGCATCGCTGGTTTTGCCATCATTAACAACATTAGCTGCTGGAACTTTTGGTTAAGTAACAAACTCATCTGTTCAGGTCAGACAAGAATTTATGTAATCAAACTGAATTGGCATTAACACGAGGTATAGAACTGTCTTCCACAAAGGAGAATACCCCCACCAAAATGTATGTTAGACTAAATCAAGAGGTTTTCATTCTACTTTTAGCAGACAATATTTCATACTTCCTAAGGTACTGTCGGCTACATATGCTTCAAATCCACAAGCTATATTAAATATGGCAATAAAGAACCCCCACCACATACCATTATAATTAAGATGCATTACAGACACTTTTGTGGAAGACTAACATCAAAATCACAGAAGGAAGACTGCCATTACTGTCAACAGGATACCTGAATCACTAATTTAGCAGGGAACAAGATGGCTCTTGAACTGCCAATAGGATATGGAAATTTTCACTTGTATATTAATTCTGAGATGTGAACTAGGCTGACAGCCCAAGTTACAATCCAATGGCTGTTCAATGGCTCATGGAAAGGAAGCTAGTTGGTGGTCTTAGTGTTACCAGGAAGGTGCCAGGATTCTCCCTCCTCATCCCCTAACTATTAAGTGTAGCAGCCCTGAAAGGTTTTTAATAGTTTATTTTGGCATTTTTTAACTGAAGTGAAAGATTTTCAAACACTGAATATTTTCCTTCACTCCATACCCACCGAGATATTTTGATTGTTTCCCCACACCCTTTCCCAACGTCTTTAAAAACAGCTCTGGACAGGGAAAAAGTGACCAAAAGTATCCACATCACAGAAGCCACAATTAAACTTGGCCCCCATTTTTTTTTTTTTTTCTTTTAAAAGCAGAGCTGCTTCCTCTTTGACAAGTAAGTGGCACATTGCCAGGCCAGCATGCGAAAGCAATCACTGTGCTGCTTGTGCCACACTTGTTTCATGAGTGGATGATTTTAAAATTACTAGTGTTGTTAACCTGGCATCTTTCGTGAGCACTAAAATATACAGGGAAACCCCGATATAACGCACCCCGCGATAACGCGAATTTGGATGTAACGCGGTCATAAGGTGGCTCCGGCTGCCCCAAGCAAAAAAAAAAAGGGGGGGGGGGGGGGGGGGGGGGCGGGCAGAGCACCGCCGAAGTGCAAGAAAGAAAAAAGAAAAAACCGCCAGAGCGCCGCCGAAGCGCCCTCCCCCCCCCAAAAAAGCAGCATCCGGAGCGCTGCGGAAGCGCCAAGGGGCAGTGGTCAACTGGGGGCCCCCTGTGCCTCCCTGACGGTGTCCCCAGCAGAAGGTGGGGAGGGGGCAGGGGAAGCCCCCAGCGCTCCAACCCATCCCCAGCAGAAGCGCAGGGGGTGGCAGGGGAAGCCTGAGCACTGGGAACCCCCCCCCCCACTGTGGCCCCGGGAGGCAGCCTCACAGCTTGGGGGGGGGGCACTCACTCCCCACTGCGGCCTCAGGCTGTGATGGGGGGGACAGGGCATCTCCGGTCTTGGGGCCGCAGTGGGGGGTGGGGAGGACATAAAGTAGCAAACAGGTTGAGGAGCTGCAGTGGGGGTGTGTGGAATGGGGGGACCCTGAGTGCCACCCCAGGGAAGGAGCAGAAAGGGGTGGAACTGTGGGCGGGGGCCGCAGGCAGATGGGGCAGAATGGGGGGCAGGCTAGCAGGTGGAAGGGGCGAGGGGGGGGCACTTGCTTTGCCCCAGGGCCCCAGGAAACCTTAATCTGCCTCTGGCCCTGAAGTGTTGCACCAAATCGCCTCAAACGTTGAGAGGCTCAGGGCCAAATCGCCAGCTTGACAGCCCCTATTAGCCTCGCTGTCCAAGTAACACCTGAGGGCTCTACAAATCTAACCACGCTGCCCTTGCTGAGATGCAGGACACCCCTACCAGCATCAGTGACTCAGGCACAAACTCACCCCCCCCACACACACACAC